TTGACTAGTTAGAGTAGCGGGTCGACCTCCCCAAGATGGCTCCGATAATCCCGTATTTTATGCGCTGCAACAGCCATTTCTGGGTCTAATCTTATATTATGTCTATGACAAAAACTATAAAAGAAGTAGATCTGAATCTATGTTTTATTTCTACTCTGAATTTTTATTTTTTTATTCATAGTTCAACATCTTAAACAAATCCATTCTTGTTTTACCAAATATTAATAAAAAAAAGGCTGAAACAACCTGCTGCATGCATACTGAATAACTAATAGACATTGTGTTTTTTTTATTTCTGGATAACTGAGTAAACTGTTCCCACTTTTCTCCCCACAGTGTTTCCTAATTTAACTTTAAGAAAACTAGAAAAAGAGCTTAACAAGCTTTAACTAGAAATGTCCCCTATAAGGTTCTGGGACACTAATATCCCACAAAAGAAAACTTTGTACGTGGTATGGTAGAATTACCCTGCCATAATGCAAGAGCACATCATTTCAGTTTGAGAAAAGAATTTCATCTTCTTGCACTCAAAACTTATAATGCTCACACTCAAAACATGCGCAGAGGGAGCGCATGTTTTGAGTGTGAGCATTATAAGTTTTGAGTGCAAGAAGATGAAATTCTTTTCTCAAATTGAAACGATGTGCTCTTGCATTATGGCAGGATAATTCTCCCATACGTGGCAGAAACCTTATAACGTGTTAGTCTGTGACCATTGAAATGATTGAGAAAACTGTAAAAATCATGTTGCTATTGTCTTGTAGGTAGTGTTTAAAAATAAGGCAGACCGGCCTTACTCTTTGCACCCTAATGGGGTTTCTTATACGAAGCAGTTTGAGGGTCTGTCCTATGAGGACGGCTCCAAGCACTGGTATAAATATGACAACGAGGTGCAGCCCAATGCGACCTACACGTACATATGGAAAACCAGCGATATGGTTGGGCCGGCACCTAACGAGTCTGACTGTCGGACCTGGGCGTACTACTCCGGTGTTAATCCTGTAAGTACTTAAAGACAAAACAAGTATTTATGTTTCCATATATGCAAAAATGTGTAGTAATGCATGTCAGAGGTGGGGCCACGTTATTCTTTTACTTGTCTCAAGTCTATACAGATCAAATGCTTTACGATCCATCATATAATTCAATATAATCAGACCCTTTCTTTCAGGAGAGGGATATCCACTCTGGCCTCATTGGTCCTTTGCTGGTGTGTCGAAAAGGCACTCTAAACAAAACGCCCCTAAACACCCGGGAGTTTGTGCTGCTTTTCATGACCTTCGATGAGTCTCAGAGCTGGTACTACGAAAGGAACCGGGAAGTAATGCTGCGGAAGAAACTAAGAAGAGTATACTACAGCAAGGAGAAACTCAAGTTCCACTGTAACACTTTTCAACCTTTGCTCTTCATTTAGTTTATTTTGAAAGAAAATGTCAATTTAAATACATTAGTGCTTTAATGAACAAGTACAGGAAGTCATCTTACTGTCAATTTTTTTTACGCAGCTATCAATGGCATAATATATAGTCTAAAGGGCCTGAGGATGTACACCAACCAGCTTGTCAAATGGCACCTCATCAACATGGGTTCCCCTAAAGATGTCCACAGCGTTTACTTCCACGGGCAGACGTTTACGCATGTGAAGAGCAGGAGCTCCAGACAGGCTGTGTTCCCCCTGCTGCCCGGTGAGAAAACACAGACAGCAGCCTGGTTTCCCCCCCCCACCATCTGATATAATGTCTAACGTCCTCACTGCTGTCTCTGCAGGGAGCTTTGACACTCTGGAGATGTATCCATCCAAACCTGGTTTGTGGCAGCTGGAGACGGAAGTCAGCTTATACCAGAAGGAGGGCATGCAGACGCTCTTTCTGGTTCTAGATAACGGTGAATACGGTGAAAACTCAAACACGTTTTATGATAAGCCTGGAAACTCAGAAAAGCTGTTTATTTGTTGGACGAAACGACTGACACAATTGTCGTCCCTCTGAAGAGCAAAAACTTTGCTAAACTAACTAAACTTTTTGACCAGAATGTCTCAGAAACATTTTTAACAGGATTATTAAGATTTATTTTTCATTTCAATGCTCAGTATTCAAGTCAACATTATATTGTAACAAAATGAATGAAGCTGTTTCATTTTTTTTCCCCCTGAAACGTCGTCTGATCGTAGAAACATGAAATCATGCAAAGGGTCATTTGCCATATTGAACAAAATGGTCTAAATTTAGTTTTGGAGGTTACATTTCCTCCTTCTCAGCCACAACAAGAAGTCAAGGATAATTTTTTTTATTCTCCTGGTGGGCTGTGGGGGTGACTAAGTGGTAAAGTGGGATCTATATTATCAGTTTCAGGTTTTTTGGAGGTTTTTAGAGGACACAATTGCGGAGATGGAAGCTGAGGTGGTTTCTTGCTGATTTAATAAGTAGTGGCAACAGAAGCAGAAATATAAAAAAATAATAGTCTCAAGAAAAAAAAAAAGGACCAGAAAAAGGGGGACAGTTGGGTTAAGGAGGGAATGAAGAGAATCCAGCACTGTGCAACTGCAGAGGAGGAGTATAAATGCCAAACCGAAACAAAGAATGGAGTAATTAATTAATTGGGAGCAGGTGTGGATAGAAGTAACTAGAAGGGAGCTAGGGGGAAGGAGACTGACACAAGGGGGCGGCAGAGAGTAAACAAGAAATACATAAGAACTCAAATGCAACAAAAATGAAACCAATGACCTGAAAAAAAAAAGACATCAATTAAAGTGTAAATGAAAACTCAACAAGAAAGAACAAAAAGTACAGAATCATGACAGTCATGGGTTTGATGTCATGTCTGCTTCTCCCTTTATTTCTGGGTTGAATAAATCTGCATAAAACTGGTTTATCTGATGCTCCGGGATTTAACAATGACATTTTTGTATCTATTTATTAAAGACTGTTGCCATCCTCTGGGTCTTGAGTCGGGCAGCGTGAAGGATGACCGGATCTCAGCAAGCGACACAAGAGGTACTACACCTGTGCAAATGACAAGCCAGTTAAATTACACTTATTTCCAAACTATTACAAACAAACTAACATGGAGATGAATGCAAACATCTGTCCACCTTTCAAGGACCCTGGGAACCCCATCTTGCCAGACTTAATAACCAAGGGAAGTACAATGCATGGAGCACAGAGAAGAAGGGCAACTGGATTCAGGTAGGATCTTGTTCCTTTTTTTCCACACAGTATTTTTTTATACTTATGCTGTGTGTGATTCAGAGCTTGGAGTTAGGAATAAATGCTGTCCAGCTTTTTATTTTTGTGCTAAACAGTGTTATCACTCAATCTCTTTATTGTCAACTAAAGCTTGCATTGTGTGTGTTTGTGTGTGTTGGGGGGGAACGACTGAGGCCTCTTTGTGGCTTCTGAGGGCCCCACCGTGAGGCAGTTCCCTATAGCGCTGCCTTTATCTCTGTGGAAAGATAGGAACCACATTAGGGATGGAGAGGGATTAAAAGCATATTTCAAATTTTATCTTTGACAGGATAGTTTGAGTTGTCAAAAAACAACCTCTGCACAGAAAAAGCACATTTAACACGAGACAAGCATTTCAGCAGCAGGAAAACATTGGAGGCTGGAGCCACATGCAAGTCAATCTGCCATTTTGAGCATCAGTTGTGTATGTTTGATGAATGGTCATTGTCCTTGATAAGATGGAAGTTTATCAGCCGCCGCTACCGTTCTGGGTGCATCCACAGATGTTCCCGGGTGGGGTAGCTGGGGGGAGCCTGCAGTTCCGAGCCCTTCCACCATAACATCCAGGGAGATTTCATAAGGGGGAGACCGAATCCAGACTAACACTTTTTGTTTTCAGAGCAGTCTACACAGGAATTTTCCTATCAGCCTTCGAGTCTTTTCTTCCTGACTCCACGTGGTGAATACAATATTGCAAATTTGTTGGGCTTTTCTGCCTTGAAGCGAGCGTGCACATCCAAGATATTATCCCATCTGACCTTTGAGTTCAACCATTGCAGCCAGCCTGCGTTCAGTCGCACCCAGCATACAGCTCAGCTCATGGCCCTGCTCGTTCACAGCCTTGGTGAGCGCGTCAAGCGCTGTGCGCGGTCTAATCAACGGCCAAATTGTCACCAACATCCTCTGTAATTGCAGTTACCTTCAGGTTAGCCTGGTGAGACCATCCTGATCTCGCGAGCTTTCAAGGTTTCACTCGC